TGCTGCTTTCAATGACTGGAACTTTGAGAAAATGTTAGCTGGTGTACTGGCTTAGGGCTTTACCCTCTCCTTACTTCCCCAGTGAATAGAAAGAGTTATTTGGAATGTACACAGATTTACCCTTCCATGAGCTGTGTTTGGAATTATTCTGAGGTGCATTCAAAGCTGACAACCCCCCATGGCTGACCCCCTAGCACCTAATCAGATCTTACGTTCTGTTTCCAGATAGCTGATCAGCTTCCTTGGAATCTGCTGATGACCCAGGAGAGCTTTGCCTGAAGATGGAAACATTGGAGTCGGAGCTGACCTGCCCTATTTGTCTGGAGCTCTTTGAGGACCCTCTGCTGCTACCTTGTGCACACAGCCTCTGCTTCAACTGCGCCCACCGTATCCTGGTGTCACATTGCGCCACCAACGAGTCCGTGGAGTCTATCACCGCCTTCCAGTGCCCCACCTGTCGGCATGTCATCACGCTCAGCCAGCGAGGTCTAGACGGGCTGAAGCGCAACGTCACCCTGCAGAACATCATCGACAGGTTCCAGAAAGCATCGGTGAGCGGGCCCAACTCCCCCAGTGAGACCCGCCGGGAGCGGGCATTCGACGCCAACGCCATGACCTCCGCCGAGAAAGTCCTCTGTCAGTTCTGTGACCAGGATCCTGCCCAGGACGCTGTGAAGACCTGTGTCACTTGCGAAGTGTCCTACTGTGATGAGTGCCTGAAAGCCACTCACCCAAACAAGAAGCCCTTCACTGGCCACCGTCTGATTGAGCCAATTCCGGACTCGCACATCCGGGGGCTGATGTGCCTGGAGCACGAGGATGAGAAGGTGAATATGTACTGTGTGACCGATGACCAGTTAATCTGTGCCTTGTGTAAACTGGTTGGGCGGCACCGCGATCATCAGGTGGCAGCTTTGAGTGAGCGCTATGACAAATTGAAGGTTAGTCCGACCCGCCTTAAGCCAACCCCTTTCTGCCAGCAAATGTCATGGAAATAAAAAGTGTATTCACTGCTCGCTACATGGCAGGTGGAGGTTTGCTCTTCACCTTTGTTATCTGATTTGTTTTAGCATGTTTTTTGGCAGCCCATAAATGTTACACAATCAGGGTATCTTGTAAAAGCTGACTGCTGCTTGTAGTGCTAGCGTTGTCAAGGTGAGGGTGAATTTGAAGAATCTGGATCATTTGCAATCCTTGCAGTTGAGAGACAGAGACAGTTAGAGGGAGAGGGGAGAGAAAAAGAGCGAGATCAAGAAGGAATGGCAGATAAAATCTGGCTTTGGGCATTTATTTTCCTCACTTGTCAGGGAAAACTAATTTTGTTCACATTGTACCTGTATCTAGTTACCACACAAACAAAAGACTAGGAGGAGGAATGCCTGAAGCGAATGTGGGATTTTATAGGACATGTGACCTTTTATTCCTGGTGGAAATGCTATCCAGCTTATTGGGGAACTAGAGTGCTCTGACCATCTCAGGTTTCACGAAAGAATTCCTTTTCGTGCAGGCTTTTTATTTGGTAAGGTTACAGGCAAGGCCGTTTGAACTTCACTTTTAACATGAAATATTAACTTAGCTGCAGCTCGGGGAATGATAATTAATATGACTATACGTCAAATTAAAAAATCTCTCTCTAAATATGGATAGAATGCACCAGGGAGGAAATAAGCCAAGTCTCCAGATGTCTGTTCAACTTCAGACTACGGTGGGTCTAATTATTGCAACCTCAGCCGAGAGAGTTTGCTCTCAGAGTGAGATACTATGTTCACCAGCTAATTTTAGTTCACAAGATGTCAATTAAAAGGAAAGGAAGTATAAATTAAGAGCTTTGAGTAAATATATATTGAAGTCCTTCCTCGGGAAAAACACACACCATTTTGTTGAGCAAACAAAAAAAGGAATCACATGATCAAAAGAGTATTACCACTCAGAGCACATCGTCACCTTTCACAAATGGTTCCTATCACTTCTCAGCACGATTGGATGCTTGTGTTGCCTGGGACCTCGCAGTTTATTCTGTGACTCTGGGATTAACAGACCACACCTGTAATTTGGTTTGGTTATTTCTTGTTATGATGAGAGAAGTTGATATGTGAAGTGAATCCCTGCTTCCAAATGTCACTTGGGGAACAAAAGCATCACCTGGGCAGCATGCCTCACTGAAAGTGTCCAATGATGACTGGTGCAAATCCATCTTTAAATGTCAAGAGGAAGTTAAGCCCAAGGATTTAGTGATATAGACAAGGGAAGACAGATGATGACTGGTTTTCTAGTGCAGTGCACGGCAGTAGCCAGAAACACACTATACAAGTTAATAATATCAAAGGCGATGCATGTATGAATTGTGCCTCTAAAACAAATTCTTCAGAAATCAATATGGCTGTCAAATGTGAGAAAACAAAATGAGCTCCCCCCACCCCCTTTTTTATTGGGGACAAAATGTTTAGGATGATTAGACATAGGTGTTTTTGTTTTCCAAAATGTAAACAACTCTTTTTGTTCCCCTATCAAAAATTTCCTTTGATTGAATTAACGCTGCTTTTTAATGATCATTTGTTAAAATACCACAATGATGTTCAATAGTCAACAGCTCCCGATTTGATATTTAAGCCTGGTAGTCAAGTTTTCCTCTTTACTTGTAAACTGTCACAGAGGAGTTATTAATTATGGATATAACACCTCCAAATTTATGAGGCGATGCTGTCATGTTCTAACCCTTTATGTGATGAAAACGAAACTCTTCAATCATGAGCCCTGCACACTTGTCTAATCAAGCCAGTGGTTTAGCGGTCGTTGATATTGTCACCCGGAGGGCCTGGCAATTAACAATGTGGCATATTTTATCTTCTAATTACAGAAATATAAACATATAAACAGCACCCACTGCACCAAAACACATTTACAGCTGCTCAACAAAATATACTTATGAGCATTTATTTATAGCCATTTAACAAAAATGTGCTTATAAGCACTTAAACATACCAGGCTAGCATAACATGTTTGTGCTAAAACATGGCACTTGTGTTAGAATAAAAGAATCATAAACATATATGACATTTGGGTATCTGTGGTATTTCAGTTATCACATATTTATGAACATATGTACTTCCTTGTGTTTTTAAAACCTCAGTACAATAAAAACTGATTTTTAAAGAAATTAACAGCATCCAAACAGGACAAAAACCAAGGAAGTGTATTTTTGTTAATTATTACTTTGGCCTGGAAAAGTAAATGCGTCTGTAACTGTGTTTTTCTGAGACTTTAGCATCTCATACAGAAATGGGCTTGTGATGATGTGAAGACACAAGGTGTAGAGAAGGCCCTGACCAGGTGGCTCAGTGGTTGGAGCATCAGTTTGGTTCCCGGTGAGGGCGCATACCTCTGCTGCAGGTTCGATCCACAGATATGGGAGGCAGCCGATCGATATTTCTCTCATGTTGATGTTTCTTCCTCTTTCTTTCTCTCTCTAAAATCCTCTGGTGAGGATTTTTTAAAAAAGAAAAAAGAAAGCGTGCAGAAATTGGAGGATGCTTTCATTGATAAGACAATAGATTTGCTTTTTTGATTTTGGATATGTAAGGTCTCAGGTGTCTCCTGTTTGAAATTGTTTTTGTCCTTCTGTTAGTAAAAGTCCATTTTTTGAAGAGGGGAATTCTGCCTTGATTATGAAGATTAATCATTTCTTGCAACACCACTAAACTTCAGGGGACATTTTTACTCATATTAAGTCTCAGTATACATGTGTTTATATGAGGAACTGGCATACACTCCTGCACATTACAATTTTTCCTAGGCATAAAAGAAAAAACTCCATTAAAATTCCAACATGTAGAATTCATGCAAATAAAATCTTCCACATCATCTGAAATAGCATCATGTCAGCAATCTAATGCTTCCAGAGACTATGCATTGGAAAGCACTCATAAAATATTGAAGCAAAGAGAAAATTAAACCAGCATTTCCTGAACTCTATTTGAAGATTAAAAAGAGAAAAGTCTTCCTGCCAAATGAATAAGTCTCTAAATGGAGCATATCATAATGTGGACCTTTTTACATCCTTTTAATTGAATTTTGAGAAGCCTGTCAGTCCTGCAAACTTGGATTAAAAGTTTGGTCTGTGAGCCACATAACATATAAGAGAATTTAATAATATAATGCATTCCAGAGTTTTTAAGGAATTACAACACAGTAATTCCTTTTCTTCTGTTCCAACATACAATGTTGGAGCTCTTGTTTCTTTTCTCTAGTTACACCTATAAAAATATACAAACTGAGGAAAATTGACCTTTCCTTGCCCTTCAGTTTCAGCATAGCCCCACTTCAAGATAGCTGACGCTGAAGTTCCAAACCATTGTCTTGCTCTTCTGACTCTAAAAGTTGGCTGAGGGAGTGGATATTTATAATGCTTGCTTCAGTGGATCATCCCATTGGAATTTTGTAATTGTTTGATAGAGGTTCCAATTAAAGCTCAGCTTTTCTCTGTAGCCCGTCTTATCTGGGGGTGAAGACTTGGGATTTCACTTTTGGGTTTCATTTACAGACTATAAGGCTCTGTATTTTTGAAAGTCTTGTAGTTGGGAAAGTTGTAAGTAGATACTGAACTAGATTTTTTTCTGTAACTTGTTTCTTCTTTGAAAATAGTAGCAGGGCCTGGCTGGGCGGTTGAGTGTCGACCTAGGATCCAGGCGATCAGGGTTCGATTCCCTGTCAGGGCACATTCCCAGGTTGTGGGCTGCAGCCAATCAATGACTCTCTCATCATTGATGTTTCTATCTCTCTCTCTCCCTCTCCTTTCCTCTCTCTGAAGTCAATAAAGATATATTTAAAAAAAAAAAGAAAAAAGAAAGAAAATAGTAGCAGGTACAGTACAGGTTCCAGTGAAAGGTGTGTGGGTGGTGCAGGTAATGGTAGAGGCCAGGGATGCTGCTACATCTTACAATGTGAGGGTGGATCCCCACCACATAGAATTATCTGGTTCCAAATATCAATAGTGCCCAGGCTGAGAAACCCTTGTCTGTGAGAAGAATTTACTGTTTGTCACTGTGTTAATTAGCTAGGGCTGCCATAATGAGGGACCACAAACTAGGTGTTCTAAGTGAGAGAAATGTCTTGTCTCACAGCTCTGGAGGCCAGAAGTCCAAAATCAAGGTGTCAGCAGGGTTGATTCCTTCTGAGGACTGTAAGGGAAGGATGTGTTCCAGGCTTTCTACCTTGGGTTGTAGGTGGCTGGCATCTCCCTGTGATCCATCACCTGGCATTTTCCCTGCGTGCTTGTCTTTCTGTCCAAATTTCCCTTTTTATAAGGATACCAGTCATACTGGATTAAGGGCCCACTCTTCTTCATTATGACCTTATGATAACTATACTTGCAATGACCCTATTCCTAAATAAGGTCGCATTCTGAAGTATTAGGGGTTAGGACTTCAACAAATGAATTTGAAATGGGGGGCCACAATTCAACCTATAATAGTCACTCCAGGGTATACCTAGTTATCTAGTCCACTGAACACATGTTATGTCCCTATCAGGATTTAATCACCTCAACTTAGGCAGAGACCTTTGGCTCACACTCTCATCACTCACCTAAGACTGAGCACAGGGTCTTGTAGATAATTAATTCTCAATAAATATTTGTCAGCTGCTTCATTAATCATCAACTATTAACTTGACATGAAAGTTTAAATTAAATTCATAATGACATTGCAGATATTCATTCAGATATACGACAAAGCATATGTAAGATCATTTCTAAATAAGAGTGGAGCAAGATATCATATTTTATCCAATTGGCAGTAAACTATTATTTTGGTCTACGTTGCATTTTGTTGGCTTAAATTTAATGGTGTCAATTTGGATAAACTAGATCTCAAATAATTGTAGAACAATTCACATTTGTTTCATGCTGATATATGATAGACACTTGATAATCCCATTATACCTA